CATTAGTATAAAAAAGGATAAAAATGCTTTGCACCTCAAAGTGTGTAGGAGAGGGACGCGTGGATCAAATACTTTGAAAAGAACTCTCTCACATTGTCCAACCTATAATCAGCGATTTATTATGCTGCGACATTTCGGTACAAGAGCTACATCAGGCACAAAGTTTTGTGATGATGAGAAACTGAAAATGGGGGGAGTGACCACAGGTCAGCCATCACATTCCTAAAAAATGTACAGGTTTCATTTGCATAAATGCATTTATGGCAAGTACAAATTTTATGTAGTAAATGACATTAAACAAGTAATTATATGTTTGAACAGGTACATGAATTATATGAAATATTATAATTGGTATATGATACACAGATGAAATTACAAGTACGGACAAATGAATGAAAAACCAGAATAAATGAATGGAGACACGGGATGACACTGCCTCCAGCCATTGGACACGAGGGCGTACTGAATGTTTTGAAGAGTATATGAAAGTGATATGACTCATATGCTGTGGCCTTCACAGTCACCACATCCTAATCTATTTGAAGAACTGTGAGATTTCAGACCGGGGTGTTAGACAGTGCCCTAAACCACCATCAGCAGCACACCAATTGAGGGAATATGTATTAGAAGAACAGTGTTTCATCTCCCAAGTGGAGTTCAGAATGTTTTAGAATCAATGCCAGGTGCAGTCTGGCAGTGTGTGTTGAATAAACACCTTAGTGTTCTAAGGTGTCCAGCGCACGCACACTTAGAATGGATTTATTAGTGATGTATGGTATCTTGACTTTTACAGTGAACAATATTTTTGTAGAGCCTGTGGTTTTTAATGGGGTGAAAAAGTCATATATTTCATTAATGCTTCCACCAAAGCAGGTTATGTTTTGACCTCTTTCCATTGGTCTGCTGGTTGGTTTATAAACAGGATTATTCAAACAGCTATTTGACAGATTACCCTGAAACTTGGTGGAAGGATGTGGTATGTAAGGGTCAGGGAAGAACCCATTCCATTTTGGTGTGGAATGGAGTTTTTGAGATGGAGGATCTTTCAACATATTCATGGATTTTTCAGAGAATAATTAATGGATCTTGATTAATAAAAAGTCATGATCATTAGACTGATCGTGTGTGTGCAAGATCCAAATAAAATCTGGATGTAGTTCATTTAAATGTGGAGGAGTGTTATTATTATTACTATGTTGAAATGTGGAAAAACATCAGTCATAATGGTAACATTTTTCATGCCTTAAAGGTTCAGTGTGTAGAATTTAGTGATATCTAGTGTTGAAGTTGCATGTTGCAGCTGAACACCCCTCACCTCACCCTCTCCTAACAAACATGAAAAAGAACCTGTGGTAACCTTTAATTGTCATAAAAACTCAAAAGGTGTTTAGTTTGTCCAGTCTGGACTAATG